ACTGTTGAGATTGCTTGCGATCTTCTTCTAAGTCTGCAACCCAATCTTGTTGCATATTGTGTTTGCTCGGCCCTCCCGCTGCCAGTTTTCAGTTTCGTAGCGTGCATGGGCCTCCTACACAGGCCCTAAGGGCCCAACATTGGTCCCTAGGCCCCCAGGCCGTGCGACCCTAGTTTTGGGCGGCCTGAGGGCCATAATTCAGTTTTTGGGCCAAGGCAAGTTCATTTTAGGCCTAGGATTTGTTTTCAGTCCTCTATTTTCTCCTCGGTTCTTCCCATCGCCCTCCTAACTTTGTACCTCTTGTCTACACCGCCCACCCGCTTACTCCACTTCGGATTCCACGTGGCAATGAGCCTGCAGAGGAGACCGTCAGGAGCATTGACGTGCAGGAGACAGGGGATGCGATAGGGGTTAAGGGGTTTTGTCTGCCAGGCAGTGTTGGGGCCAAGGAGAGTGAGTAGTAGTCGAGGCAGTATTTTCTATCCTCTGTTATGTTTGACAGTTATTTGTTTTTCTGCTAACTTTTTTTTGTTCCAGGTGGTGACGTCTCAGATTTTAGGATTGTCCGAGCAGGTTTTGTGCCTGTTTGAACCAGTAGGCATAAGGTCCCACGTTTCTCGCCCGACGCGGAGTTTTGAGGCCAATCAGACTTTTGTCTACATTTGGGTTGGACCAGGGTTTTCTCAGGTAGTGACTGGTCCAGCCCTCGTCCACCTCTGGACTTGCCCTGCAACATCGGCAGATCTGCCTGGACGTCCGGTAGGGACCCATGTCCACCTTTTTAGGCCCAGGGGGCTGGACCATGTACCGAACCTGCATCCAGGACCACCAATTGCCACTTAGATCAGACAGCCCAGGTGTAGGCCCAGCAATATATAGCTGGGCCAGTGCCAGTAGTTGAACACCGAAAGCTGGAGCATTCATTCTGTCGACACGCTGCTGGAGTGGAACATTAGTGGGAGAGCTGCGCTGGGTAGTTTAGCTCCAGAGGAGCTAGGAGAGTAGGTTGCAGTGGAGAGAGAGCAGCAGAGGTTGAGGAGACTTATCTGGGCACCATAGCTTGGTCTTCACGCTGCCCTGGGGCTGGCATTCGACTGTGACCTGCATTAGCTCAAGACACAATCTTTCACTTGTATCTGTTCGCATCATGATCATCACAGAGAGAGAGAGAGAAGTGTCTTCTTCTTCTTCTTCTTCTTCTTCTTCTTCTTCTTCTTCTTCTTCTTCTTGATTTTTCTTCCTTCTCCGCCACCTCCCTCCTCCTGTTCCACAGAGAGAGAGAGAGAGAGAGAGAGAGAGAGAGAGAGAGAGAGAGAGAGAGAGAGAGAGAGCATAGATTGGTCACCATTTCGGACTGCTCTTGCCCAGGACTTAGACTCGACATTTTGGTTGCGATAATTGTGAGGTTATTGTTGAGGAGAGACCATTTGGCATCTACTTTGAGCTATTCTTATGTCTGTTCTCTCCTTCTCCCTCACATTCGTCTTTCCCCCCTGCCTCCATCCTCTATGGTTTCCCTTCCCATGTGTGTATGAGCAAGGATGGATCTTTTATCTATGGTTGCATTGCCTTCTTGCAACTCGACATGTGTGATGATGTATCCATGTTCAGAGTCGTGAGTCTGATTGAGTCAGATCGTTATTTTTAGTCTTCGGCTGCGTGCATTAATTCACATTGTTCTACATTGCATTTCCATTGCTTCATTTTGTTTGCATAATTGCATTACCATATCTTCGAGTTCTTTTCTCATGTTGGCAATCTCGTGGTTCTGTGCACTGCCTCTCTCTCGATAGGCATCCATCAGTTTCCATGTCCGTTCTATCAGATCTATTTCCAGATCCTGGATTAGAGTGGTAGATGTAATGAACCCAGTCTGGCAGATACTCAGAAGTCGTCAAACATCAGTAGTCTCATCATCTGCATCAAAGTCTCCAAATCGTGAAGTGATAACTCAAACAGTATCTTATTACCATCAAAAGGAAGAGAGTGGAGGCGGAACAGACAAAGGAGAAGATGAAAGATCACACAGTAATCCCTTCAGACCCCTCTCCTTCTCCGGGCTTCTTCCCTCTCCACATCAATAATGATAATAAGTATATTCCTGATCACACACAATAGTGCCACGTGGCACTTGATCTCGTGAAGACCATGAAGATATAGCGGATTCCAGTGACGACGTCAACCTCAGGTGAGTACCCGATCTCCTTCATCCACAGATCCCGACCTTCCTCCTCCTCCCAAACCAGTCACCTCATGTAGACAGCGTGGACAGTGCCACGTTGGCAGTTGAGACAGGTGGCATATGCCACATCACCAATGAAGACCAGTGGCAGCACCACATCAGCATGCACTGTAGACCAGAGGTAGCGCCACATCAGCATGCAGCAGTCAGCCCCAAAGTCCCATGCAACAGATTAGACCAAAGTTGGCAGACCCTGAATTATCTCCAGATTAACGACAAACAGGAAGGTGAGAAGTTTGCAATGGCTAATCACATACTTAGATATTCCTGTCAAGCAGTGGAAAAGGAACGGGCTGAAAAAATCACAAATACAGGAACGGGTTTTAAAATTCATAAATACAAGCTCCGCCTGCAGGAGAGGAGCTTGGGTTAGACGTATCAGACTGCTCTGAAAAGGTTCTCGGAATCTTACCAAACAGTTAGGCCTTCGGTCACCCATAACAGGCTGCATCTGCACAGCATCAAGAATACGTGCTCGTAACGCTGAAGCTGCCCGATCATCACTTGCATTGACCTGGGATAGGGAAAAATAAGGGCAAAACCCAAAGAAACCAAAGCAAAAGGTGAAATGCTATGTGACTGTGCTGTTATGATCCTGGCCAATTTCGAGACACACATTCATCAGGCAGTACAATGCTGTCCGATTGCAGAAAGAAATGAATGAACTTGAGAGGAGAGAGAAGGTTAGAAGAAGAAGAAGAAGTAAGAAAGAAGAAGAAGATGATGTACACCAGCATAGACAAATGATAGAGCTCTTCTTCTTCGCTCAACCCTCTCTTCCTCCTTATCTCCGCCTCTCTTATTCACACAAGAAATAATAATACAATGTTGGATAGCTGAACCAGAATCAGAGTCCGAATCCTTCTTCTACTGCAGGTATCACTTGAGGTCCACCATAGCCATCGCCGCCTCTCCCACTCTTCACTCTCATAGGCCGAGGCTATGGCAGACTACTAGGCCTTGCCCAGATGTCCAAAGGACAACCCAAAGTAGCTATGGCTTCCCTAGCGCAGGCCGCCATGCCTGACTCTGCCTCGAAGCTTCTTGGTGTAGCTCAACCCCAGCTGGGGCCTTCCTGCTGCAGCGCCCACCAAGGTGATGAAGATGGCTGCCACCATAGGCAGGTAAGTACCTCTGGCGCTCCTCCCCCTTCCTGTCCTCCTTCCTCCTCCGAGTCCTTGCTTCTTCCCCAGCAGCGCTGCTCCAGCCAGCGCTCCAACCAGTGTGTCGCCAAACTTGCACACCGACAATGAGGCTGGGCTCTTCGCCCGGCCTGGATATATAGCGGCCTGCTTGCCTCTTGGGTGGTGACTTCCAGGCCGCTCGGCCTTCCCAAGCAACCGGTACCTCCTCCCTTTCGGAGGGAAACATCATTGCAGACTCTGATATTGCCCGTACAGGCCCTAGACTCAGACTGGTTGGACTGGTACCCGCCTAGACCTAGCCTACAACTACTGGCCTCTTCAAAATGCCACTTTTGTCTTCTTCTGCTCGGCCTCCAGTACCCGCACATCTACCTCTTCAGGGTGCGGTACCGGCCTACCTGCTACTTGAGTGTTTTCCCCCCCTGCAATCCCTCAATGTCACAGCCACAGCTAAGTACCGTCCCTGAGGGCCCAACGAACGAACAAGTGCCCTTGCGGGCCACACACACACTCAAGCCAACCAGCACTCAGACAGACATGCAGTCCAGCAAGCGTGCTAAGGGTTTAAGCTTGCTGTATCAATTTACTCGCTGACCCATTATGCAAAAGGTACGCCGTTAACCTTTGCAGATCCATCATCCATTGATTGATGATGCATCTTTCAGCCTTCGACTGATTGCTTGCATCGGGTTTCAGGTTTTCTATTTCACTCCCTTTCTTAGGGTTCTTTTCACCTTTCCCTCACAGTACTTGTACACTATCGGTCACTGAGAAATACTTAGGCTTAGAGGGTGGTCCCCCACAGAATTCAAACACGGCGCGCGTTTTACTTTCACACAGACTTAGAGAACTTAGTAGCAAGCGGGGAACTCAGCAAGGCATTCAGTCTATGAGCAAAACTCAGAAATCAGCTGTGTGTTTCAGTCCCTGTTTGGTCGGGTCAACACAGTACAGTAGCAGCCTAAGCATGTCCAAAGCAATGTCCACCAAACCATGAATGAAACCAATCATCCATGGAAGCAGCAAATGACAATGCCGATGAGAACAAAAAGAACCAGAACAGAAAGAACAAGTCCTTTTTTTTCTCCTTTTTTTTTTCTGTGCGGTTAAGGACCAGTCCTGCAAGTCTTTTTTTTTTTTTAACAAACTTTTTTTTTTTTTTTTTTTTTTTTTTTTTTTTTAACCTTCTTTTCATTACTAATAAAACTTGATACCGAATCCAGTGTCCCTCACATCACACACAACGCTTCCTTTCGTTATACAATGAACAATTCCCTTTGGAAAAAAAAAAAGAAGTCCCTATCATTTTAACAGCTGGGAACCAGGACCAGCGTCCATTACACCGATACTACTCACCCAATGCTCCTCCCCCTTATGGCCTGGAGGTCCTGAGACAGCGGCATTGATTGCTCCCTCTTCAAGAGGATGTACCACAGCTCTGCCCCTGTCCTGTACCTTTGCTCTCCATGACCTCCTTCTCTGTCCTTTCTGTTCTACCCTTCTTTCTCATCCTTCCACTGCGATGCTAGGCTGAGGCTAACCGAGTTCTGTATGCTGTGCGCTGATTCTGCCCTTCGGTCCGCCCCTACCGTCCCTGTCACTGTGGACCCCCGTTCCATTGAAAACTGTATGTTGCCTCCCACCACTAGACCAGCCTTTCCCAACCTTTCCTGTCCCTAGCACTCTGCACGCAAAGTTCTCTCGTATCTCCTGTGCCTTCTCTGGATTCTTTCTGATTTGCCTTTTGGTCCTAAACCAGTCAGTTTCGTATTCCGTCTCTATTGTTTGGAGAAAACCGTCCCACACCTGTGCCAGCAGGCAGTGATTTCCGTCAATCGTTTCTTGGCAGCTCTCCTCCAGATTGCCCACTGGGCCAGGGGTCTCATCCTTTGTTGTAGCCGGCATTGGTACCCTTCCAGCTGTCTCGGGGTCCCGGAGCCTGTGAGCAATGCAACTTTGTGTGTCAGGAAGGGCTTATGGCCAGGTTCCTCTCTCAACACACTAACTGACACCTAGTCACACTTTCTTGCCTATCTGTGCACCTCCACGCATCGCTCTCTGTCTCTCTCCTCATTGTTACTCATGCCCCCACCCCCCCTGCTTGCCCCTTCGTCCCCGCCTCCTTCACACAGAAATCACACACAAACGGAGATGTGGCATTCTGGGGCCTGCCACACCAAGGCTCAGGGGCCCGGACCTTTTGTTGTGTGGCCTGCAGTGGCAGAAACAGGTGCGGAAGAGACACGTACTGAGATTTGGACAGATAGAGACAGACTTGTACTGGAGACAGGTAGCAACTCAATCGAGGACTGAACGGCGAGGCCAATGCTGTCTTCCCAGTGTACTGACCACTAGTGAAGTGCCTGGAGGCCTGCTGATCATGGCGGACAAGTATGGAACTGTCATGGCCTGGGGAATTGCCCCGAACAGCACACCTACTTCCCTTGCCAGACGGTTGATGGCATCACTACCAGTCTCAAAGTGGTGGATTGGCATCGACAGTCGATCCCAAAGTTTCTCAGGCCACAGTCTGAATGGTTGCTGTCTCATGCAAGCTGATCACATTCCTGATGACCGGACTCTTAAAATGTCCGCTAGCGACTTGTGGTCACTTACCCTCTTTTCCTCCCATTCTATGAATGGCTCACTCCTAAAATTTTGGAGGCTTGAGTGTTGTGACCCTCCTCTACAAAAGGGGCATGAAGGAGGACATCATAATTATAGACTGATTTCAAACAAGTGTAAGCTTCGCTACCCGAACATTATGAGTACTGGCCACGCTTGGGGACTGATGGAGAGGCCACAGGGCTGTCAATTTGAGGTTTGGCGGTTAGCATCCCAAGGGGCATGGAAAGAGAGCGCTCCTGAATATATCATCTATGTGCATGTAACCATCTCACAGAGTATATCTTGCATCTAAAGCCACCATAAACTGAATAGCTCGCGAGCCTTTTCTGCTCATTTCCAACATGCTGCGGTCCCCATCGAGTTGGTGGCAATTGGGTGAGCTGGATGCTTTAAGCCACATTACATAATGGCGGTGACGTTGGCTAGGTTTTGATTGAATTGATAGCCCATTGAAATTGGTTGTGAGATGGCGCACCGTTGTGGTAACTGTAAGGCCAGGATTTCCCGGCCATTTTTTAAGGGTACATGCAATGCATTTCATTAAAACACAAATAGATTCAACAGTTCAACCGCTAGGACGATTACCAAAGTGTGCCTTTGTACGTAATCTTTGAATTACTGTTTACAAATTGAACAATCACCTTTTCCGCTGAGTACGGATCCGAGCCGCCCGGCCGACCGGCGCCTGCCCGGGGGACGTCCCGGGCGGCCTGGCCGGGCGGGCGGCCCGGTTGGGGGCCGGCCCCCCCCAGCACACCTTGTTGGCGGGGGGTTTCCGACCCCGAATCGGCGAGATTTCGCCTCCCCAGGGCCTACCGGGTCCGACCACGCCGAGAAAACTGCGCGTCGGGCCTGTGAGGCCTGTTTTTTTTTTTTTGAATTTGGGACGGCCCTCTGGCCGTCGATCATTCATGATCGACGGCCAGAGGGCCATTCGTTTTTGGAGGGAAAACGGAGGCCCCGTTTGAACAAGCGACTGGCTGGGGCGGCCTGCATTGGCTGTCCAAACGGGGCCTCGGTACCTGCTCCAGCCGCCTGCGTTCGTCGTCGAGTCGCCCGTCGTTGAGCCGCCCGTCGTCGAAGTAGCTGCCCCTCGTCGCCATCGCCTGGGAGCTTCACTCGCCCGTCGTCATCGAGTTGCTCATCGCCCATCGCCAGCGTCGTCGATCACGGTGCTCCTGCCTGCCGACAACCGCTGCCGCCCGTCGACGTGGAGTGCGGGTCTGTTCTTCTTCTTCTCGGCAGTCAAAATCAGCAAGTCCTTGCACACTCAAAAATTTGTGCCCACACAGTGCTCAACAATGGAGTGAACAGCCACATATCCATCCATCTAGGGCAGTAACATCAATCTACACGAAGGGAATTGATCATTAGTATTGAAAAAGGCAACAACTTTGATGCGTGAAAAACTGGATAGCTTCTTAGGTGAGGATGGACATCATTGCCTGTAATATCTAAAATTGTCCATGGTCGATAGTACAATGGTTGCAGTTTTCTGGAAATGTTCTCTTTTGGACTAAACTCTGTGGTTTCCACCCATACAGAGCTCCTCCTTGAAATATAGATGCATTATTTGAGTGCTCAACAGTGTTGCACACCTCGACCGTCGGCGAACCTTGACTGGTCGGCTGCCGACCCTCCGACCGGTCGGCTGGTCGGCACCTACCAGTCGGGGTCGTCGGCACCCCGCAAAAAAAAAAAAAAAAAAAAAAAAAAAAAAAAAAAGTTGGGTCCAGAACCCCTAATAACCCCACAAACACCCCCATACCCACCCCAAATACCCCCATACCCCCCCCAACACCCACAAACCGCCCCCCAACACCCTCATACCCCCCCCCAATACCCCCTATACCACCCCTATACCCCCCTATATCCCCCTATACACCCCCCCCCCAACCCCCCCATCCCCAAAAGTTTCTCAGCGGATTCGGGCTGTACTTCGCAAGCGCAGTGCAGCTTCCAACTCAGATCTGAAAAAAAAATAGTGGATGGTTGTTTTCTGACTGGTCGGCAGACCGCCGACCAGTCGGCCCTACTGGTCAGCTGCAATACGGTCGGCGGTCGGGGTTGGGGTCGGTGGTCGGCAGGAACGCAACCATGGTGCTCAATCATTTTCTGTCGAGATTCCTGAAATAGAGATTACACCATGACTCACGCGCTCGCTACTTCAGGCAAATGCTCATCCGAATCAAGTTTTCTAGCGTGATAAAATGCCTTTCTTTACTTTATGATCCATCTGTTCATCCTGTCCGTTTTTGAATCGAGCATCCCTATCATTCACAAAATCTGATACCCATCTATCACAAAAAGCTTTAATGACTAAATCTGTCTTAGATGTTTCTGGTAGTGGTATGAATCTAGCAAATGTGAAATTCTGTCTATGAGTCGATGACTCTATGACCGCAAATATTTGCCTAATGCCGTTCCTGCTGCTGATGAGTGTATTCATGCAGTCCATGGCTACAGAAGTGTATTCATGCAGTCCATGGCTACAGAAGTGTATTCATGAAGTCCATGGCTACAGATTCACCGGCCCTCATGGCCTCACAAATGTATCTCTGCTTAGTCTAGGTTGCAACTCGTGATAGTTCTAGGTTACCACCCATAACTATCGTATGCTCCTATTCTAGGCAGGACTACTCCATGACTCACAGCTCCCACAAATAGCACCATCTGTTATCCAGTCAATTTGTTTTATTCTACGCAAAACCACCAAGTTATTGAACTTTTCCTCCAGGGACACCAATAACAGGTACCTTGTTGATAATTGTACACGACTCTTACACGTGTTTCATTCAGTGTGTTGACAGTCAATCAGGCGTCCCCTCGTTACGGTAGCGTTGATTGCTCCATTCTGGAGGCTTGACTGGCTGGTATGTCCATACCTTGTTTACGAACCCCGTCCCCATTCTGTCTGGACCTAACCCGAAAGGAAACATTCCATATGACGTATTTTCTGACCAGCTCCTCTTGACCTATCCAGGTCGCCTGGTCCTCCTTTTGTCCCTGGTTGTGTTCGAATTTCCTTGCCCGTTATCTAACTTCTATACTTCAGGATTTCCCATTAAACTGCTCATCAGAGCAGTCTGTGTCCCAAATCCCTTCCTCTATTTACGGGTACCACTCTACCCAAATTCTATGCTAGTTCCAACTCTCGGGGGGATCTTTTCCTCGATTTTGGTCCATATGCGTTCTTGCTCCCCATCTGCATCGTCTTGACCCTCTCTGTCTGGATGGAACCGCCAGAACCGAAAGGACACAGAACCATATGGCCCTGTTTCAAAATAAAAAAGTTGGCATTCAAGTGCAATAAATCGCAGGTACATAAAACAAGCGCTAACAAATACAATATCTCCCACTCATGTCAGAGGCTGTATTCCTTTTGTATGCAAGAAGAGAACACCATCAACTGCATGAAACACGATTTCAATAGGGACAGGCACTTAGGAGGGCAATAGAGGGCCTGCTTTCTCCTGCACAACCATAAGTTAGCTTGTGGAAGGCATCGGCACCCAGAGAAAACGAATCAGCTTCACCAGTTACCTCAACAACATGATAGCCACAATGATGGGCTGCCACATGTGCTAGTGTTGTCTTTCCAAGACCAGGTGCTCCACAAAGTAGCAAAACCTATAGTCAAGGAGAAAGCAAATGGGGCAAGAAAACACAATTGGATCAATCATATTACCAAAAGTCCACTCATCATGCCAATGGCCTTATGTTCTCATTGCACCTGATTTAACTTTGTCTAATCATCCATATGACTTCGATCATTTCGTAAGTTTGATACACGCAAACCGGGCCAAGAATGGGGCAGTTCAATCTGGCGGTCCCTCCAGGCAGTGAAGATCCGCATCAAGCTGAAAGGCAATTGCAAGAAAGTCCGACGCTCTTTAAGGCAGGTGGTGGAGAACGTGAAAACAACCATTCGTAGCAACCAGACCACAAAGATTGGGGAGGATCGCATCGGAATGGGAGGAACAGGGATCACAGCAATGTTCCTCATTGTTGTGAGCAGTAAAAGGGCCTTTACCCGATGCAGGCCTCAGGCCTCGTAAAGGTAAAGCAGCATGAAAGGGTATCTCGCCAGGGCTCAGAAACGTGAAAGAAGGTCAAAGGTCAAGTTCTCTATCAACGGGCACATCCAAATCTAAAGCAAAGGGCATTGTCAAAAGACTTACCTGTTCACCAGGAGATGTTCATGTCATGTCTGTTCGGGTATGGGTGTGTCTGTGCGTGCAGTCAGTGCACCTGTTCGTACCAAGAAGAGTGTCTATTCACACCTTGGGAGTGTCTGTCCAGGCAGTGAGTGTGTCTGTTCGTSTAAAGATGTGCCTGTCCGAAAGTAGTCAATAGATAAAGTCCCAGTTCTGGTCTAAGTCAAGGGGACAGTCCAGATCCAGACTTTCAAGTCCAAATCTAGGCCAAGAGGCCTCAGCAGCAGTTGAACTTCATTGGGACTGTACTGGGACACATGCAATGCAGGGTCTGGGACAAAGGAAAGGCTGAACTGAGCCAATGCAGACCCAGCGAGGAGAGGCCAGCACTATAAAGGCAGCAGCCAGCCTCATTCCTCGCCAGATCTCCACTGGCATTCTGTGCGTGGAAGTGCTGGAGCACTTGTGCGCTAAGYCAGGAGGAGCAGCGCTGGAGGATGAAGATGCGCTGAGTGAGGGAAGAAGACTGTGCGCTGGAAGTGATGCAGCCATAGCTGCCCAGCGAGTTAGTACTAGTATTAGAGAGTTAGTAGTAGATAGCTATGAGTAGGAGGAAGGGACTGAGACAGAGAGTGTTCTGCAATCAGATTCGTTTTCAAACACACTTTTCACACATGTAAACAGTAACGCAGCACACTGGCGACATGCGCCCACTCAAAACTCAGAGATATGGCTTCAGATACGAGTTCACTCTCAAATGGCTATGGCGACTCCAGCGCCCAAACATCTCACTGTTCACATACACTGGATCACCCTGGATATCCCACACGCATCACTCTAACACTCGAGCACACACACACACTCACTACTAACTACAGCTATGGCAGCTATGGCTGCCTCTAACCTATCGCTATGCTAACTCCTCCTCTCTTGCCCACTGCGTCCTCTGGGCTCATCTGCAGACCTCCTTGCACAAGTCGCTGTGGCAGCGCTTCCGCATGGCTCACGCAGGAATGAATGAATGGCTGGGCGCTGCCTCTTGATTTATACTTCAGAAATTCGTTGGTCTGCCCTTTACCTTCGGCCCTTGGTGCTCACAGTCCCCCTGTGGTACTTGCTGGACTGGACTGGGACTCTCTAGACCCTTCTGCTGACTGTAGGCAGTCGTACCGTCGACTCAGTGCAGTTGCACTGAGGTCCTACCTGTTGACCTTGCCACTTGTCTTCGTCTGAAAACGTGGGCCTACCTTAGACTCACCACTTGACCACTTGCCGACCTTCTAGAAGGACTAAAGCTAGGCCTCTGGACTCTACTTGGACTCCTACCTTACAGGTCTACAGTTCGAATCTCCCTACAGCCTACAACCTACGGCGACCTACTTACCACTGGCTATCGTGCAGGTCACGGGTTCAACTCCAGGGAACTGTGCAGATACTGTACACAGGTAAGCTGAGGTCAAGGGATCGACCCCTGGGATCTGCATCGGCTACTGCCAAAGGTGAAAACTGTTTCAGTTCATTCAAGGTTTGGTTATGGAAGATACTTACCTGAGTTGGATGTGGACTGCAGAGGTGGCGCTGATGAGTAGTGACCACATTGATGACTTGGAGACAATCTGCAGAAGTAGCGCTGATGTTTTGGAAGCCATATTGACGAGTTGACAAGGGATGTGTATTGCGCTGTTGAGCGCTGGACTCAGGGAACTATGAAACTCTTTGTGATCATATTTTTGATAATATAAGCTGTGAAACTCGGTTTTCTTCTCATCTACCTTTGTCTATCGTGTGAGACTACTGATCATTGTGTGCGAGTATGATGCATGACATATACACACTTGCGTGAGATGGTCCCCAGGACCCATGCAGAAGGCTGGAGTGCCAGACAGTTTCCAATTTTCCGCTAGGATGTTCCAAGTCTGGAATGCCCTGGCCTGAGTCCTGGGCAGTCATTTGCAGATCACGCATGTGGTGTACACCTTGTGGGGCAATTGGCAAGACAGCCATATGATGTTCCAATCCCCGGTCATTTGCGGCTGCATGATGAGTGGGGGCTGCACCTTGAGTGGGGACTGCACCCTAAGTGTGGACTGCATACAGCACTGCAGGTAACTCGTGAACCTCCAATTCTATGGAGCATGAAACATGGTCTCGTGACTGCCCGCCCGAAGTTTGATTGTCTCCAGGGGACACAGGAGTGGATTCTTTTTCTTTTGATCTTTCTTTTCCTTTTTGGGATATCGCTGTCTGGAGCAAGGGAAGAACAACAACCTGTGGAGCACACACAGGGAAAATGGGGGCAGACAAAGAAACAGGCTGTTGATCCTGGGATGAGTGATGATGCGGTGCATGCCGTCGATGGTACACAATAAGAGAAGCTGTGACGAGGCAAACTGCGGATGTGTATGTCTCCGGCCATGAAAGTGGAACAGCAAGAACCGGAGAGTTTGTTCACAAGCAAGACCATGGAGGAGATGTCACTGTGTATGAAGGGATGTGCTCAATGCCGCCTTCATACAATTGTTTTGTGTGCAAAATTTGACATATGGCATAACATTGCATCTCAGTTGACCTTTAACCACCATCACCTCGAATCCGCTTTTTCCCGTGCGCACTGAGTTTAAAACAAGCCAGCAAATCGGTACAGGAGGCCGAGCCCCCTAAAAACTGTGCATTTAAACCAGTTCATTGCAAAAGTTTCCCTGGGAGAGGCCCAAGACCTTGACCGTGGCGGGCCACCTAGGTCAATCTGAGGCAACCTGGGCCGCCTGGCTGGTAACACAGGTGAATAGCCATGACAATGAAGAGGCACTTGGAGATGACCCTCAGCCAAAAGTTGCTTGTACTACTTCTTTTCTCTTTTTCTGTAGCCATGACAATGAAGAGGCACTTGGAGATGACCCTCAGCCAAAAGTTGCTTGTACTATCATTTTGACCTTTCTCATCTTTTTCATTTTTTTTGTTGTGGGATGCAAGCGGCAAAAAAACAAGAGCTGAGGGCAAATCCAACCGCAGACGTTGGAACTTGAGAGGAATGCACTCACAAGGGTTTGGCCACCGGAGGGTCAAACTGCAACAATCAGAGGCAACAAACTGAGCTGGAAGAAATGGGACTCCACCTTTCGGTGTTGGGCCTTCAAGAGTCTAGTTACTGACAGCCTTGGCGTCAGCCAAGTCTGAGAGGATGCTGAAGGGTCGACCAGAGTCCAGTTTCAAAAGCAGTACCGTCATTCTTAGTTAGGGCTGACAATGTCAGGATCAAGAGGGGCAGGCAGTCAAACCATCAGCTCATGTCTCACACTAACCTTTTCAGCAGGCCTTAGGCCATCAGCATCCATTGCAGCTGGCATACCACTTGCACTTCCCTTGTTCCATATATTGCCTCCTTTATTCGCACCTTTCGTATCTTCTGAAGATCCATCCTGGGCTCCTCTTCCAGGACCACTCTTTGATCGATCCCAACCCCCATTATTAGCAAACCCCTGTCTGCTATTGGCATTTACTGTCCGATCCCCTTGACCCTTACCCCCAAGACCACCTCCACCACCACGTGCACCTCCACCACCACCTTGACTCCACTGACCGAACCTTCCCCGACCCCTGCCGGGTCCAGATGATGGGGCCGCTGATGGCCGGCGTAGGGCAGCCAGTGCTTCACTGCTGGTTGCTGTACGAGCCTCCCCGAAGACGCAACGGTCCCATTGTTTCAACCATCTCAGAACCTTCACCAACATGAGAAAAACCACGCATAGCAACGAGGAGGTAAATCATGCAGAATGTAAGCAAGTGAACAAGAGAACGAAGACCAAATGAACAAGTTGAGGTACAGGCAAGTAGAAACGAGCAAAGAGGCCAGCTCAAACACAGAAAGTCAGGTATAGCCAGCCAGTTCTTGAATATCACAAACAGGATATACTCAGAGGAGTCAGAAGTTGCTAACTCCAGGAATCAAAGGTACTTCAGAGCACACATGCAACAAGAGCGCTCAACATCAGCCCTCTCAATGAGTCAGAGCCATGGCAGAGCACCCATTCGAAAAGAGCACTCCACATCAGCCCTACAGTTGCATCACATATCAGCCTCACATATAAATCTATACCTGATATTAGACACCCACACATCTCTCTCTCTCTCTCTCTCTCTCTCTCTCTCTCTCTCTCTCTCTCTCTCTCTCTCTCTC